CCGGCTGGAAGAAGGTGAGTTGCTCTCTGCCTTGAAGCACTGGGTGCGGCTGCCCAGGAGAGCCCACAGGTTGCCCTTGGACTCTCTGGCCGGGCCCAGGTGGGCTCAGTCTCCCTCCCCTCCCTCCTCCCTTCTGCTGCACCCCTCTCCCACCTCCTCCTGCCCGTCCTCCCCTCCCCCTCCCTGTGGATTCCCTGGGGCCCTCCCAGCTCAGATGTGCCTCTGATTTGCAGCACCCCTTAGGAATGTCCTGACAGTTTCTCCTGCCAGGGAGACAATGCCCCTTCTGGGACCCAGCTTCTGTGTTCTGCTGGGGAGCTCTTAGGGCTCTGGGAACAGAGTCGCGATGGGCGCGGGTCTGCTGGTGGATGGAGGTGGGGGAAACCCAGTCTGCCTCGTACTGGGACAGACCAAGGGGGTCTTGGGATTCTGTCTTGTGTCTGATGTGCTGACCTTGGCCTCCCCCAGGGAGGATTCTCAACTACACCGAGATCGGCCCTCTCTGCTACTGGGAGTTGTGTGGCCCCAACGGGACAGTAGAGAAGCACTTGAACATCTGCACGTCCACCACGCCACCCTCATCCCCCTCACCACCTACCAGCACCCCTGTCACCACCAGCACCACCACCACCATCACCCCTGTCACCACCACCAGCACTACCCCCTCCACAGCCACCACCACCACCCCCTCCACCACCTCCAGCCCAGGTAAGACCCCGAGTCCATCCTCCCCTTACCTCCTGGGGCTTCTGCCTCCCCTGAGCCCGGCAGGGTCAGCCCTTCTAGGCCCGCCCTTATCTCTGCTCATGGCGGGATGCTCAACTCAGGGAATGTCCCCTGGCGCCCCCCAGCCTCACGACCCCATCCCCGAGCCCAGACCCCAGTGAAGGCGACATTTCCCCAGACCGGCAAGAAACCATCCCTAGGGTTGGAGGAAGCAGACAGATGCCCTTAGGTCCCTCTGCGTTTGCTCGGGCTGAAATCGTAGCTACTGCTGAACGCAGCCACCAGGGCACGACAGACCCGGAGAACAGAACTTGTATAATGGAAAGAGTTTAAGCATCTCCAGCTGTATCATGACATCCTCTCCCCATCCCCCATGTGACAGCAGTGTCACCTTCCTCTTCAGCGCCTCCGAGTAAGTCAGACTGGCGGCATTTCTGACGGGGCGAGGCGCCCCAGATGTGGGCGGGGCTGGCCGGGCACCAGTTAGTGGACCAGAGATGGTGTAGTTTGGTGACTTGATCCCTGACTTGCTAAGCCCAGGGACTCATGCAGGGCACCGTGACCAGCTCTGCGGGCAAACACTGCTGGTGGAGAGTGACGACCAAGCCCCTGCCGCCGCGCTTCCTCACTGGACAGGGTGGCCCTTTCCTTATTTCTTTGTTTGGTGTAAGAGGTGAGGGAGCCAGTGAAGGGCACTGGGCCAGGGCTCTGAGGCCCGGGTCAGTCACTGGTGTGGCACCCAGGCTTCCTTCCCTCTAGGCCTTGGGTGTTCACTTGCAAAAGGAGGATGGGCATTTAGGTCTAAGTTGTAACCTCTCTGAGCCTATGCTGGGTTCGAAATAAATGGTGACAGCTGGTCGTGGGGGTGTCAGAGTTCCCCAAGTCCGCTGACCTCCTGAAAGGTGTCTCCCCAGGCCTGGATAACCACTCCGCAAATTGCTTTCTCAGGGCCATGCTGCTGGTCAGACTGGATCAACGGGCATCACCCGAGCGGCGGCAGTGATGATGGAGACTGGGAGACATTCGACCATGTCTGCACGGCCCCGCGAGACATCCAGTGCCGGTCGGCCACGGAGCCCCACCTCAGCTGGCGGGAGCTGGGCCAGGAGACACAGTGTAATGTCTCCTTTGGGTTCATTTGCAAGAATGAAGACCAGTTTGGAAAGGGACCTTTTGCAGTCTGCTATGACTATGAGATCCGAGTCTATTGCTGCGAGAAAATGGACTGGTGTGCACCCACCCCGACCACCACCACGTTGCCAACGAGCAGTCCTACAGTTACTACAGTGGTGCCCAGCCCCACACCGAGCACCCTAACCCCCACCATTACAACATCCACACCTACAACAGAAGCCACCAGCACCCTGACCACGACCCCGCAGACCAGAACAACGACACCCACCACGACCTCAACAGAGCCCCCAACTTCGACCTCCACCACCCCGGAGACCACAACCCCCAGCACGACCTCCACCACAGAGACCACAACCCCTCCATGTTTGCCTGTCTGCAATTGGAGTGGCTGGCTGGATTCTGCTAAACCGAACTTTACCAAAGAAGGTGGAGATATTGAAGCCATTGAAAATGTCTGCAGAATGGGCTCAGTAGCCAGCATCTCCTGCAGAGCCGCCATGTTTCCCAGCGTTCCCCTGCAAGAGCTTGGACAAACTGTGGTGTGCGACACTTCTGTAGGGCTTGTGTGCAAAAACCGAGACCAGAATCCAGGGGGAGCCACCCCCATGCCTTACTGCCTCAACTATGAGATCAATGTCTACTGCTGTGTTCCTCGCCCTGAATGCCTCACAACGTATCCCACCAGCACCTCGCAGATCACAACCACGACACCCACCACCACCTCAACAGAGCCCCCAACTTCGACCTCCCCCACCACGGAGACCACAACCCCCAGCACGACCACCAGCACCGGGACCACAACCCCCAGCACGGCCACGACCACGGAGACCACAACCCCCAGCACGATCACCACCACGGAGACCACAACCCCTCCATGTGTGCCTGTCTGCAGTTGGACCGGCTGGCTGGATTCTGCTAAACCGAACTTTACCAAAGAAGGTGGAGACGTTGAATCCGTTGAGAATGTCTGTAATTTAGGCTCAGTAGCCAGGATCTCCTGCAGAGCCACCATGTTTCCCAGCGTTCCCCTGCAAGAGCTTGGACAAACTGTGGTGTGCGACACTTCTGTAGGGCTTGTGTGCAAAAACCGAGACCAGAATCCAGGGGGAGCCACCCCCATGCCTTACTGCCTCAACTATGAGATCAATGTCTACTGCTGTGTTCCTCGCCCTGAATGCCTCACAACGTATCCCACCAGCACCTCGCAGATCACAACCACGACACCCACCACCACCTCAACAGAGCCCCCAACTTCGACCTCCCCCACCACGGAGACCACAACCCCCAGCACGACCACCAGCACCGGGACCACAACCCCCAGCACGACCACCAGCACCGGGACCACAACCGCCAGCACGACCACCAGCACCGGGACCACAACCCCCAGCACGACCACCACCCCGGAGACCACAACCCCCAGCACGGCCACCACCACGGAGACCACAACCCCCAGCACCACCACCACCACGGAGACCACAACCCCAATACCTACCTTCAGCACCACCTCCACAGGGACTCCTACTCCGACACCCACCACCAGCTCCACAGTGACCCCAACCCCAACAGTCACCACCTCAACAGAGCTTCCAACTTTGACCTCCACCACCATGGAGACCACAACCCCCAGCACAACCACCACCACTGAGTCCACAACCCCAAAACCCACCATCAGCACCACCACCACAGGGTCTCCTATTCCGACTCCCACCACCACCTCCACAGAGCCTCCCACTTCTACCTCCACCAGCACTGAGACCACAACCCCCAGCACAACCACCACCACGGAATCCACAACCCCAACACCCACAAGCACCACTTCCACAGGGACTCCTACTTCGACTCCCACCACCACCTCCACAGAGCCCCCCACTTCGACCTCCATCACCACGGAGACCACAACCCGCAGCACAGCCACCACCACGGAGTCCACAACCCCAACACCCACCATCAGCACCACCTCCACAGAGCCTCCCTCTTCGACCTCCACCACCATGGAGACCACTAGCCCCAGACCAGCCACCATCACGGAGTCCACAACCCCAACACCCACCATCAGCACCACCTCCACAGGGACTCCTACTCTGATACCCACCACCACCTCCACAGTGACCCCAACCCCAACACTCACCACCTCCACAGAGCCTCCCACTTCGACCTCCACCACCTCGGAGACCA